CATCCTCGCCGTGTTCTTCGAAGACGCCACGGCTAGGCGGCAGTACGGCTGGCACCTGCCCCGAAGCGGTATGGCGAGTTCTTGGTGTACATACTACATACCCAAGGAGTCGGTCGTGTTCGACGGCGTCAAGATCGTCATCCACCGCCGGTCGCTGCCCCGCGCTCCCTCTCTCCGGCATCTATCGCCTGTAACTTGCGGAGACTGCCCGCCTCCGCCGATTCGGCTTCCGCCGCACCTCCCCCAATTCCGCCTCCGCTCTCGCCGCCGCCGCTGCCGGGGGCTCCGGGTGCCCTGACGGAGGATGCTGTCGAGAAGGAAAGGATGCGGCGGCGACGCGCGCCGCAGAGGACCAAGAAGGCCGCGGCGCAGCCGCGCAGAAGGAGTCGGCGGCGGCGGGGCCGAGGTTGTGCAGCTCTTCTCCCGCCGCCGCCGCAGCCAGGGCCATCTCCCGCCGGCCGCCGCGCGCAGTTTACTCTCCGTCGTGCCTGGAGAGAGGAGAGGGTAGATAGGTAGAGAGGAGGAAGAAGAAGAGGGATGAGGATGACATGTGGGCTCCACGTGGGCCCTACTATTTTTAATTAATTTGTGTGTGAAACTGACATGTGGGTCCCATAGATTTTATTATTTTTCCGGATCAAATTACCACGTAAGCGCCATGTCAATGCCACGTCAGATGAAGACCGAGTCAAATTAGCCACGTAGGCGCCACGTCAACCAAAACCACCCTCAAAACCGCCGAGGGATCTAATCTGCACCGGTTTTAATACTTGAGGGACTCGTTGTGTCTGGTTTTTGGGTTGAGGGACGAAAATTGGATTCGTTGACAAGTTAAGGGACCTCAGATGAACTTATTCCTTTCAGGAATGCTATTTTTGGGTTGAGGGACGAAAATCGGATTCGTTGACAAGTTAAGGGACCTCAGATGAACTTATTCCTTTCAGGAATGCTAGCTTGCGCGTGGGTTGCGGGCGCTCACTTTCGGCCCACAAGGCCCACGGCACGCGTGCGCGTTTCTTCTCTTCTTTTTCTTTTTTAGCAGTTTTTTCTACCGCTGTTTTCTTCTTTTTTTTTTCCGCAGTTTGCTATCGCACGGATAGGAGAAAAAATCGTAATTAGTTTACTAGTGATTAGTATCCTGTTTTTACTAGTGATTGGTTTACTGGTAATTTTTAAATCTTAACATAAAAATTTTCAATTTTGGACTTGAAAGTTTTTAAATCTCGAGTTGAAAATTTTCAAATCTCGAGTTGAAAATTTTCAAATCTCAGGTTGAAAGTTTTCAAAATTTTCAAATCTGGACTTAAAAGTTTTCGAATCTCGAGTTGAAAATTTTCAAATCTCAAGTTGAAAGTTTTCAAATTTTCGAATCTGGACTTAAAAGTTTTCGAATCTGAGTTAAAAGTTTTCGAATCTGAGTTGAAAGTTTTTTCAAAATTTGACTTTAAAATTTAAATCTTAAATCGAAATTTTTAAATCTAGCTTAAAAATTTTCAATCCGTTAGTAAAAAAATCTCCAAAAGAAAAATCTTTAGAATTTTTCCTAATACTAGGACTAATAACTAATATAGGAGGGACTTAAGGGGAGTGCGCGCGGCTAGCCCCCCCCACCCCCCCCCCCAACTTTTTCTTTTTTTTCGTTGCTTCGTGTGAAAATGTAGAGAAAAGGACACGGCGATGAAAGAGAAGTTATACGCAAAAGTAGATAATAGAATAACGCGTGAAAACACATGAGAGAAATTTCAGAAAGGAATCGACGAACAACAGACCAGCAAATGAAAATGGCTGTACTATCAAGCAACAAAGTACGCAACTGAGCGCAAATAGAGAGCAGGACATGACTCAATTGAGATTACAAACAAAGAGAATCTCAAAGAAACGAATATAGTGTATCGAACAATGCGTGAAAGCACATAAGAGAAGAAAAAAAAATGGACGAAATCATGACAGTCACACTGATCGCTTGCATAATAATCTAGCTCATAGTAAGCTAGTGAGCAACAACCTCATTGAATGAGTATGCGAAATGGAAACGGATCAAAGAGGAGGCAACGGTAATAGTGTATGGAGTCATGCATGAGAAAATCACACATGAAAGAAAAAATCATAAGGGGATCATGCATTAACGACAAACCAGTCGTTGCCTACTGAGTAACAGATTGAGGATACGAGAATAATCGAAACTTAAGAGAAACGCATGTCATATATATCCGACAATAATCGATCACACTACTCCAATATTAGTTGAGATGGGAGTACGTACTTATTGATTTGCATTTTGGATCATATACTATGATGCATTGATTAGATAGTGTTAATTAGTGCTATCGAATTGTGACAGGACTGCATCTCCTGAGCCGTAGAGTAACACAAAGACAAAAGTATATATGTAGCAGAGCGTGCTTAAGCTAATTAAGGGGGTTAATGGCCTCGGAGACCCAGCAAAAAGAATATGATCATGCAAGGTAAGACTAAGCGACAAACATAGCTCCCTTGGATCAGAATAGAACGAAAACAATCCATCTACACACGCTTCTTTATATTATTGAAATTTAAAACATGAAAAAAATAAAAAAAAAACACACTACTACATGATAGATTATCCTGGACGCCACCCCCTTTTGTTTCCAAGCGGTTCGTAAGTGAAACCGCACAGAAAAATAAGAGTACCGGCGTGGGACTATCGCCCGCATGAGAAAATCGATTTTTCCGTGCGGGCCTCCTAATCCGACCGCACGGGATAATCATCATTATCTCGTGCGGTCGATTTAAGTAGACCGCACAGAAAAATCGATTTTTTCGTGCGGGCTTTTAGAGTGAACCGCATAGGAAAATACCTCCCTCCTTTCCCTCCCATCCACTTCAAATTTTTCTCATCCTCTCTCTCTTACTTTCTTCCCTTTTATTATCTCTCAACTACCCCCTCTCTCTCCCTTATCTCTTCGGCTCTTCCCCCCTATGGTTCCCTCCACACCTTCCACTCCTCCCCCTCCCCTCCTCCCTGGCGGCAGGCTGACGCGGCGAGCCGGGTGCGGCGGCGGCCGGGCTAGGCGGCGGGTGAGGCGGCGGCTGGTCGCGGCGGCGAGCCGGGCGAGGCGGCGGGCCGGCATGGCGAGCGGGCGAGGCGGTGGCCGGGCGAGGCGGCGGCTACTGGCGGAGGCGCGGCGGCCGCTCGCCCTCGCCGCTGCCTCGGGAGGCCCGCCTCGACGACGACGACGACGGCCTCGACGACGACCTCGACGGCGGACCTCGGCGAGCTCACGACAATGATGACGGGCTCGGGGGAGACGGATCCGTCGTCGGTGGGCGCGGTAGAAGTGGATCCGTCGCCGGCGAGCTCGGGGGAGGCGGGCGGGCTCGACAGCTCGCGGTGGCGACGGCCGGATGCGAGCGGGTGGCGATTTTCTTTTTTATTATTATTTTTTGTTTTTTTGGTTCTGTGCGGGTGGCATTATTTGACCATTATCCCGTATGGTCCACTTAACCCGACCGCACGGAAAAATGATTATCCGGCCCGCCCGCACGCGAAAATAATGATTTTTCCAGACGAGGAGCTGTAGGCGGGCCAGGTGACCGCACAGGATAATCATTCTAACCGCCCGGAAAAATGGGTATCGTAGTACTGACAAGTCCACCAACATCACAATCGTTCTCAAACACTGCGAAGAATGACCGTGCCGACCTAAGAAAATAATTTTACACAATTGACCACTGTGATCTACATTTAAAAAAAATAATGTAATAAAAAGATGCAATGAGTTTTTTCCCATCTTGATCATCTCTTTTCGCCATATGCAGGCCACTTTCCACCAATGTTAGCCTAGCGCCCTCCTCTTGCACCGTGATGCCCGAACGCCTCGCTCCTATGATGATAACTACTCACCACTAGGTTTCCACCTCCAATAGCCTCACCTCAAGTAAGAATGGATTAACGAGGCTCGGTTTGTTCGACCTTATTATTTAATGAGCTAGCTTGGCTTGGCTCGTTAAAGTTAACGAGAAAAGAGCTTAGCTCGACTTGGCTCGCGAAATAGCTCAAGCCACATTTATAATTTATTATTTTATCATATATAAATTTAAGAGTATATTTCACTTTCGGCCATCTTTATTAGTCAAAGTTTTACAATAAATTAGGGGTAAGCCAATCTTTTCACTTAACACCACGTATGCTTATCATTCTTGGCACTTTGTACCGGGGCTAAACAACCTGAGCTGCCATGATGGCTTTGACCCAAGAACAATGTGGGTTGGCTAAAAATTTTGCATATTTGCTACCATAAAGTAGGAGATGTCGAATTGCTCTTAGGGCTTCCACCACCACTTAAGCCCTTGCCACCAAATATGAAAATACGAAATTATTTCTTTTTTTAACTCACACTTGTAAAATACCAAAACGCAAGAACAAATCATCGCACTGATCTTTTATTTAGCATGATGCAATACCCAATTGCTGCCATACCGATCTTTTATCTCGCACGATGCTCCAGTCGACTGCTGCTTCATGGCTTGGGTAAAGCAAGAATAAAGTCCCAAATTGTCGGCCCTAGTCCAAAGTGCAACAATAGTAATTATATGTGGTGTTATGTAGAAAGTTAGGTTTACTCAACTTTGACTAATAAAGATACCCAAAGTGAAATGTACACTAAACTTTATAATAAACACTAACTAATAAAGAACTCACTAAATATAAATAGTTTGAATGGAATTAAAGGACTAATCACTAGCTAGTTACAAAGCACTATGTATGTGAAAATATAGTGATATGTTCTACTAACAAGATAAACGAGTAGCTCACGAGCTAAATGTATAGCTTGACTCGACTTATTAAGTCTACAAGTTTGAGTTGATCCAAGCCACAAGTTTAGAACTTCTGTCCACCCCTACCCTTAAGGCTTAACACCAGTCGAAGGTTGAAGAAGTCTGGTAAACAATCAACTGATAAGTAGTAAAAGTGGCAATTTATTAGAGAAAAAATAGAAATTTGTATTAAAAACATGTAATAAACCCAACAATTTGTGCCCCCATATAACAAAAACTTACAAAACACCACCATTTTCCTATGTTTTGTATAACAGAGAATAATTTATTGTATACCATTGTGATACATCAAGATTTATAACCCTTGATCAATTGAAACAACATTTATGTTAGAGTCATATTAGGATAGGATTGATTTGTGTGGACTTTTTCCATATCTATAATTCTTCATTATCTCCTCCCCATGTACTCCTATATATACCGCCCCCTGAGGCTCAATACAATCAATCCACGTTACACAGTATATATCTCTAATACTATCCAACATGGTATCAGAGCGGACGACTTAAGGCCACCGTCTCTCACGCTTCCGCTCATCGCCCCCGGAACCCTCCCGGGGGCGGCCACCTGTTTTAGTTTTTTTTTTTTTTTTTTGGTCATTGTGATTGCCACGAGAGAGATCGATCTCGGTCTCCTCCGGCAGCCGTTCCTCGTCGTCGTCATGAGATGATCGATCTCGATCTTCTTGGATGGCATGTCTTCGTCGTTGCGTCGTCTTCGTCAAGGCGCGCCACCGAGTAGATCAATCTCCTCGGCGGAGCTCGTTTTTCGTCGAGTCAAACAGCAGCTACCTCCATGTCGCGGATCGCGTCGGCGGCGCGGCTCTCCACGTCGTTGCGCCGTTGGCTCCCGGGCCCGCCTCCTCCGTCGCCGCCGGAGACCGGGGGCATGTCGTCGCCGACCGGGGCCCGCCCTCCGCCTGCGCGCCGCCGCCGGTCATCCTCCGCCAGCCCGCCTCGACGACCTCCCCTCCGGCCGCCTCTCCACACGCCTCCGCCGCCCTGCCCGGATCTGGAAACTGGCTCCACGACGACGGGCGCCCACGGACTCTACCGGCTTCCCCTCCGACGCTGCCGCTGCCGATCTCATCCGAGCTCCCTCCGCTGTCCTCGGCTCCGCCGGAAGTGGCCCTACACATGGTCGTGGCTCCACCGCCCTGGGGACGCGCTCCGTCCTTCCTCAGCCCGTCGCCGACCCCGTCGGCAACCTCCTCCACGGCTCCATGCTGTCCTCGCCCTCCCGGATCCTGCTGGACGCTGCGACATGGCGACCGACGACGTGCTTGCCGCTCCCTGCTCTTCTCTTGTGTGAACTCGCGTTTTACGAGGGAACAGGAGAGATGAGATAGTGGTGGTGGTCTGTGCATCGTTGACTTGATCATGCCCGTGCGCACTGTGGAGATTGGACAATCCAAGGATTGGTGATGGCCTGATGCTGATGGGCGTGATGCTTGGACTCGACCGTGAAGTTTGAGGCACTGGACTGCTGGCCTACTACTGTGTTGCTGCTTGTATCTTTTTTTTTCCCGTTCTGAGAACGGGTTTGCATCGCCTATCGCCTCGTCGACATCTGCGCGTCTCCGACATCGGCATCGATTACAGCTTCGACTTCCTCGTCTCGTTGAGCGCGACTTCGGCTTGATCACCCGATTAAGTGCACGGACATGACGACTTCTACCGCCGATCGTCTTCAACTGCGCGTCTACGCCATCAAGCTTCGGGTTGCCGCTGCGTCGCCCCCTCGGGCCGCAGTGCCACTGCCTGTGGTTCACATCTCCACTGGTTGTTGCAGTGCTGAGAGGCGCCCTCCTCATCAAGGCTACATCATCGGTGGACTTCTCGCCGCTGCATCGACGTGGAGCTGCAGTTGTGTTGTCCTCTCGGACCGCAGTTTCGCTGCTTTCGTCGTCTTCCTCACCGTTCGCGCATCAACAACCTTGTCGTCCATATTGGTCATCGTCAGCCGCTCAGGGTCTTCTTCCTCTACTTCGAGCATCGCCGCCGCGTTTCCCAGCTGCCACTGTCGTCGCTCTAGGCTGGTGGTCCAGCTACCTCTACATAGCTACCGACGTCGCCGTCCAGGCCATTGGTCCCGCTACATCGCCTTCTACTTCGTCCAACATGATTCATCGCCAGCGTCGCCGTATCTTCCTCGACTACACTTCGCTCTTCTCCGACAACCGCGTGCTGCTCCGGCAATTCTCCCTCTACGTCGTTCTCGCGCCGCGACCGTCTTGGAGGCCTTCTCTGCTAGTCTCCTCCGACATTGGCATATGATTCATGGTGGTCCCCTGTCTCGCCCGCGCGGTATTGGCAACACCGGCACGCGCGTTCGTCCCGAGTTGTCCCGGGGTCTGGCAAACCCTGTGTGACGTCTCGTCCTTCACGGTTCGACTACATCGGCTCTTCGGCATCAACTTCCTCAACGACTGCCGCGATCGCGTCACCGTCATCATCTCCTGCACATCCTCGCGCACCTTGGTCCACGACCACTCTACAACGCCCCATGCGCGTCCTGTGGCTCGGCTACCTCGACATCAGCTTCCTGACATCGGCTACATCGACCACGGCTACTCTACGCACGGCTTCATCGACCACGGCTCTTTCGGCTCCTTCATTTTGGCTACGTCGACAATGGCACAAAGGGCTATCATCCGTGTTGAGCACTCTTGCCGGTTTCTTCTCCAGTCCAAGTGTCCGCGTTGCTCACGCTTGAAATGCGGGGGGATGTTTGAGTCATATTAGGATATGATTGATTTGTGTGGACTCATTCCATATCATAATTCTTCCTTATCTCCTCCCCATGTACTCCTATATATACCGCCCCCCTGAGGCTCAATACAATCAATCCACGTTACACAGTATATCTCTCCAATACTATCCAACAATTTATGAAAGAAAAAAATATATGGATTCTTTTTTTTTCGGTGGGTGGAAAGAAATTTTATATTTTTCCATCTATATTACAAATTAATAATGAAATGGCTTCCACAACAATAGTTTAACATAGAGTCGGAACTAATCAAAGAAGTATAGTAGTGGATCGAGCAAGGTAATTCACAAGCTGCTCATAAGACATGCGCCGGACTGAGAGGCTGATTAGAGGCTGGACACCGGCCTGAAGTCAACATTAGATTTTGTTTTTTTTAGCGGTAAAGATGACCATTTTTGCACAATAAACTTGGTTACAATATTAATTTTGACAGAATTAGACAACGGATGAAGGTCTAACGAAAGAATCTCACTATTGAAATGTCCCCAGTGTACCATGCGTGTTCACCCACTGGTGGTGGAGAAACCCTTTTTAGTCCCGGTTCGTAACCCCCCTTTAGTCCCGGTTTCCAAATCGGGAGTACCAATCCGGGACTAAAGATCGCTATCTTTAGTCCCGGGTGAAATAACCGGGAGTAAAGATCGATCTTTAGTCCCGGTTGGTAACACCAACCGACTAAAGATGGCTCAGCCACGTGGCCGGCTGAGCATCTTTAGTCCCGTTGTGTTACCAACTGGGACTAAAGATCGAGCTGACCTTTTTTTTTTGCATGGCCCTGTTGCTGCATGGTTTATATATATATATATATATATATATATATATATATATATATATATATATATAAACCATGCATATATATGTTTCAATACATATATATGCATACATATATATATGTATATATATATATATATATATATATATTATATTATATTATATGTATATACATGCATAATATATATGTATTTGTATTTATACATATATATGTTATGCAAATGCATATGTATATAGATATATATATGACCAAAATATATTTACATTATAGAAAATGTGTACACATGCATATAGAAACATATGTAGTCATGTATTAATTACAATCCATTATATGTCCTAGCTAGCTACGATTTCGACGTAGTAGTACTCGCTGCTAGCTCAGAAGCTAAGGACCGGTGAATTGTGTTTCCGTCGTAGTAGAATTCACCCTTGGGATCAAGGATTTCTTCGTTGATGAATCCCATGAGTTGTTCTTGAACCGCCGTAATAAATTCCTTGTGTGTGGTCAGGTTATCCCTCATGCGAATAAACTATATGAATGTATGAAATTGATTAGTAATTAAACAAGAAATCGCTACGTAATGAAATTTTGAATTTATTTGTACGTACATCGAGCTCTCTTGTGGTGATGATTTGGTTTGCAAGGCAGTGGCAATACTCGCACACGTAATAGCCGCACAAGTTAGTTCCCTGCTTTTGCTTTGCGCACTACAAATAAATGACAAACAACGAGAGATCTAATTAATATACACTTGTATGTATTTGAATCGGAGAAATATAAATGTAGAGCATGTGTACTCACAGGAAATTTGAACTTCCGCCTAAGTCTTTCTCTCCATTTGCCGCGGACCAAATGACGGAACCGATACCAAGCCCTACATGGAGTTTAAAGCTATGATTCGTAGTAGCAATTAACATAACAAGATTTTCTTAATTAACAAAGGAACTTATGACGGTACCTGTCTATAAGTTCGAAAACCTTGTCAAACGTAGACTCTTTTTTATCCATTGAGTCATATACGTTGACGGTGCAGGCCTCCAGGTCGAAGAGTAAAAGCACCCAGTGGAATCTGCAATGTGCGTGGGATGCATTACATATGAAACACTTAGCAAGTTCGTACGGGAATGAAATTTGGTATGTAGGAAGACAGTAAAATTAAACTAACTCTGTGTTGTATGGCAACAGTATGAACGTCTTGTAATGCTGCGCCTTCAGGAGATGGACGAGATTGTCCTCTGTTTCTTGTGGATATTGGTCGAGCATTGCGACGTTTACTTTCCGAGGGTCGATGAATCCAGTATCGAAAACCCTCCGCCGTCGGGCCCTTTGAATCTCCATTCTACAACGATAAAAGGGAGTATATTATTTTCTATAGTCTACTTATATACAAGGACCTAATTAATTAAAGGAGACGTATAGTAAGAAATCTAACTGAACGATATACTTACAAAATCCAGCAACTCATAATAGAGACGTCGAGGGCGTCCAGCTGGTATAGTTCGTAGATTCCCCTGAAATTGATCCAGAGAATGTCATCTCCTTGCAAGAAGTCCGTGTCCCTGATCCTCGCTCCGATCATCTCTCTACCGGTGGCGCTCATCTCCATGTACAGCTGATGGAACTTGTACATTTGTGTGGGTAGGGACTGCAGCAGCTCAGGCTTGACAAGCGGTTTACCGAGTTCGTACATGTATTTCACTTCCGCCTTTTCGATTGGTGCGACTCCTAGCAATTGATCCGTAGTTAGACCGGTGTCAGTAATAAATTGTTCTATCGTCATTTCTTTACCGGTCACCAACGGCTCGATCTCCTGGTTTGGTTGCTCTCCAAGCTGAGGGACTGGTTTGGACTTTCCAGAAGATGCTTTCTTCAGCGTTCGCTCATAGTCCGATAGCTTGATGGCCTCCTTGACAGATGCAGACATACCCCTGAAGAAGTTCCTGACACTGGGGTCTATAGGAATCTTCTTTTCTGGACTTCGAGGCTTGAATTGTCTCTTGACTTCTGATGCAACGTAAGCGTCAAGCTCCTCTTGCGTGCAATCGTACCCCGGGTCCTTGTTCTTGGCGGCGTCAACTTTCGCCTTCTTCGTTGCCCTTGTGTGGGCAGGCGATGGAGCTGGGGGGGCCCTTGACTTTGAAGGTGCCGGAAGAGGAGCTTGCGGGGGAGTAGGTGTAGGAGCATGAGGAGGAGTCGGTGCAGGATCCTGAGGAGGAGTCGATGCTGGAGCCTGAGGTGGAGACGGTGCTGGCGGAGCATGAGGAGGAGACGGTGCAGGATCCTGAGGAGGAGATGGCGGAGCCGGAGGAGATGGTGCACGAGACGCCGCTTGTCGCCCAGGGAGGATGATGTACCGCCTGCGCCATAGAATAATGGCATGGCTTGTGTCTCGTAGATGCGTCTCACCGTCTCCTCCAGGGTAATCCAGCTCGAGGTCCTCGTACGCGCCTTCGACCAACTCAACTTCGACCTTCGAGTATCCTGCTGGAATCGGCCTGCAGTGGTAAGTACCTGAAGGGTCCGTTGGGATGGCCATGCCCGACGCCACCTTCATGTTGTGAGAGATTATTTATTAGTAATCAACATATATAAGCAGCAACTAGCGGAATGGCTAAATCTTACCTTTATTGATAAGTTCTTGAAAGGAATATGCAGCTCACATGGTGTCCGCTGAGTGATGTCATCAACGGGACAGGTCGATTCGTCCTGTGTTTGCATGGCGTCCATGCTCTGTGATCCTACCTGCCCCGTTGAGGCGCAGCTGCTACGGTTTCCTGACGGGCTCACCATTGCAGGAGGAATGGTCGGCTGGGGATCATGGGACCGATGTGCGGCCATGCGTTCATCAACCTTCCTTGCCACCTCCTCTTGCATGTTGAGTTCGTAGCTCGATACCCGGAACTCTAGGTCTGCAATCTTCGCCTCGGTATCTCTCTTGCTCCTCATCCGACTCCTGTACGTGTGGATGTCCTCCTTGAAACCAATCTTCCAAGGAATCACCCCTTTCCCTCGTGTTCGTCCTAGATGCTCTGGAGTCTGCAGGGCGAGTGTCAGCTCGTCCCTATCTCTGTCTGGTCGGAACGTGCCCTGAGAGGAGGCTTCCACTGCATCTGTTAGTCGTCGCGCAGCCTCTCGTATCTGATCGCCGAAGACCAGTGAGCCATCAGCTGGGTTGAGCGTTCCACCGTGAGCATAGTACCAGAACTTCGATCGTTCCGGCCAATTGGCTGTTGCCGGTTCGATACCCCTCTCAATCAAGCTAGCCTCCATCTGCTCCCACTTCAGCATCGCGACGCTATAGCCTCCTGACCCCAAGTGGTGATGGTACTTCTTCTTGGCGGCATTTTCTTTGTTTCTTTCCATCATCACCTGCCCTTGTTCACCTGTCTTATATGCAACGAACTCGTCCCAGTGATCCCTTAGCTTTGGGAATGTGTCGAAGTTCGGTGTCTGCCCCTTCAGTATATACTTCTGGTACAGATCTCCCTTGAAGCTCTGAAACTGTTCTGCCATTTTCTTCAGAGTCCACCTTTTCACTTTGTCCTCTGTACCCGCAGGAAGGGTGAATGTCTCGAGCATTGTGGTCCACAGCATCTCTTTCTCCGAATCTGGGACAAAGCTCTCATGATCTCCGCGTGCCCTTGTTCTTCGCCAGTACACCGTACTGACAGGCACGTTATCCCGCACAACCCAACCGCTGTGACGTACATAGTTCTTGGCGGCTTCGGCCGGGGCACTAGGACGTCCATCTTCTTGCACTTCCGTTATGATGTGCCGACCCTCAAGCTTCTTCGCTGCACCTCGTTGCCCGCGTGCCCTCTTCTGTCCAACGGAGGGTTGACTACCACTAGCCTCCTCCTCCTGGTTCCCCTCCACATCCCTTTCCACGTGCCCCTGCTGGTTCCCCTCCGCATCCCTCTCCACGTTTCCTTCCTCGTTCAAGTACTGGTTTGGATCCTCGTTCCCCTCTTCTTCATTCCAGTACTGGCTGCTTCCCTCCGCGATTGTATCGTACAATATCTGTTCCTCATCGCGGTCAGCCATCTGTTGATACAAGAAACATCTGCTAAGTCACGAGACATTTATGTTTTAACAATCTAAGTCATGTATGCTAAGTGTAAATGTCGTACATTAGAACCCTACACAACCTTACGTGCTAAGTCTAATTACAAATCGTGATATAAGCTAAGTCTAGGTGACGTATATTATACAACCCTAGCTAGTAAATAATTATATACTAAGTCTAATTACAAATAAAATAATCTTATATTAAAACTCAAATAATATTACATGCTAAGACTACAATAGTCATATATATG